AACAAGGAAAGTGAAAACGGTTTTATAACCGCAACGGTCGAATGACCGAACAAGTAAAGTAAAAATGGCTTTATAACCACAACGGTCAAATGACCAAACAAGGAAAGTAAAAATGGTTTTATAACCACAAGGTCAAATGACTGGATAAGCAAAAATGGTTTTATAACCACAATAGTCAAATGACTGAACAAGGAAAGTGAAAACGGTTTTATAACCGTAACGGTTGAATGACTGAACAAGCAAAGTAAAAATGGTTTTATAACCACAACGGTCAAATGACCGAACAATAAAAGTGAAAACGGTTTTATAACCGTAACGGTCAAATGACCGAACAAGTAAAGTAAAAATGGTTTTATAATCACAACAGTCAAATGACCGAACAAGAAAAGTGAAAACGATTTTATAACCGCAACGGTCGAATGACCGAACAAGCAAAGTAGAAATGGTTTTATAACCACAACGGTCAAATGACCGAACAAGAAAAGTGAAAACGGTTTTATAACCATAACGGTCGAATGACCGAACAAGCAAAGTAAAAATGGTTTTATAACCGCAGTTGAGTAGCAACGGTTATATAACCGAGCTAGTTGAGTAGAAACGGTTTTATAACCGAGTAAGAAACAGTTTTATAACTGAGCAAGAAATGGTTTTATAACCAAGCAAGAAATGGTTTTATAACCGAATAAGTTGAGTTGCAACAATCAAACGACTGAGCAAGTTGAGTAGCCATGGTTGTATAACCAAGCTAGTTGAGCAGAATCGGTTTTATAACCGAGCAAGAAACAGTTTTATAACTAAGCAAGCAATGGTTTTATAACCACACAAGAAACGGTTTTATAACCGAGTAAGTTGAGTTGCAACAGTCAAACGACTGAGCAAGTTGACTAGCCATGATTGTATAACCAAGCTAGTTGAGCAGAATCGGTTTTATAACCGAGCAAGAAACAGTTTTATAACTGAGCAAGCAATGGTTTTATAACCAAGCAAAAAATGGTTTTATAACCGAGTGGAAATGGTTTTTGAACCACACAAGAAACGGTTTTATAACCGAGCAAGAAATGGTTTTTGAACCAAACAAGAAACGGTTTTTTAACCGAATGAGAAATGGTTTTTAACCGAGTGAGAAAATGGTTTTTAACCAATGTAAGAAACGGTTTTTTAACTGAGTGAGAAAATGGCTTTTTAACTAATGCAAGAAACAATTTTTTTTTTTAACTGAATGAGAAAATGGTTTTTTAACAATGAAGAGAGATTAAGAAACTTCCCTGAACATATTGGATGTCCTTGCTCAGCAAGAGTCAAGTGTCCTCTGTGTTGTGCATTCATCAATAAGCTCGATGACATGCTTTGCATAAAGTTCAGCAACTTGAGAGCATCTCTAGTTCACTGGGGAAAATTCTCGAATCATTGCAAGATAGGATAAGCACCATGATCATTGAATCAAGCTTTTGCTTTTCTCTGCAACTTTCATCTCATTTTCAGATTTGTCAAGAGATTTCAGTTAAATAAAGCAATTATATTAACTGAAATAAAGCATCATAACCAATTAGCATCCCAATCTAAACAAGGAAAAGAAGGCTAGGTCATGGATAATATGTATGGATAGAAAGAGATAAACATGATTTTTGAATTGTACAACTTTTGATGCAACAATTTTAACAAAGCTAGAAGGCATTCAGGCTATAAAGCATTTGCTTCAAGTATTTATTTCTTTGTAACTCCACCAATCCAGTCTTTAGCATATGAGACAATGTCTACTTCCATGTCAAGGTGAACAAATGCAATCTATCTCCTTCCCATGAACTAACCTTCAATGTTTAGAAGACCGATCATAAACCATCAAACTAACTAGCTTGGACTTGTTAGAGAAAGCATTTTTTTTTTTTTTATGAAGGAAATTCATGATCAGACTAAAAGCTGTTAAATTCTTTGATAAGGACTTGTATTGGTTTGTAATGTGGCTTTGGGTTAAGTTATCAAAAAGAAGGATATGAAGGCTCAAAATCTCGTCATAAGTATTTCCCCTTCACAATCACTCTTCACTTCCCCGGTTCATGATGTAGGTAAATTGACAAGAAAATCATCTCGGCTCTTATAATTTGGATGATTGCCTTTTCTTAAGGCTCAAAAGAGGTGACTAAAGACAATGTAAAGTGGTTAGGATAAACAAACATGGTCTCTCATCATTGAATCTAGTAGCTCTTGAATTTGATCATGATTTGCTATTCTTAGTCTAATGATTGCCATCATTTCGATATCTAAAGCCTCAAAACTCTCAAAAGGACTTTTCCTTGGGTTGTAATGGGGTTTGGTTAGGGTTTTATGAAAAGAATGGGAATTAAAGGCTCAAAATTACCCAACATGCCCCTTGCCATTTCAACCCTTGCCATGTGACATTTGCATTGTCATTTCTCTTTTATCTTTCTTCTTTTTTTTTTGGTTGTTGTTGAGCTTTTGCTCTTTTTGAACTTTGCTACTCTTTTGAGATTTCCCTTCATGGCTTTTAGCAATATGATCTTGCCCTCCATTAGGCATGTAACTATATTTCCCGGTTTTGGGATATGTATGAAAGAAGAGGCTCACTTTTCTTTTTAGGCTCAACTTGGTTGACGAAAGGATGGCTCTTTTGGGTAAAGTGTTTGGAAATTAGGCTCATGAAAGATGGCCTTTGATCCTTGAGCTTTTCACTTTAGATCTCAAAATGATGACAATCATTCAACTTAAGTTAGCAAGATTTCCTTATTCTCTCTCTCTTTATCTTTTTTTTTCTTTCTTCTGTATGAGTCTATCACATTTGACTACAACTTTGGCCTCTATTTTGCAACACATCAATTAGTTCAAGGGAAGAATCTAGATCATCATCATCTTCCTTGACATGGATTTGGATCATTTGAACCATATACCAATCCTGAAATGGCATCATTGTATTTAGATTCATCATTAGCAAAGCCTGAAAGCAAAGAGAAACATGGATAAGCAACAGCAGGTGAGGAAAGCATATATATGCAAGTAAACTTTTTGTTCTTTTTTGTTTTTTTTTTATTGATTTTTTTTAGCATATTAATGGAATCAAATGATGTCTCAATGGTGAATGATGGTTTGTACAATGATTAACAAGAAGAGTTGCATCAGGTTTAATGGATGGTGATATGGCAACATGTGAGACTGAATTGTAAAGATTGGAAAACTAATTAGCATGATAGCAAATATTTCAAAGAATATAAAAGAGCTTGTTATTCCCTCCTTTCATGTAGCCACAAGCTGAGCTACTAGAAAGCTGACTCATCCCACTCATGGATGAATGAAGCAGAGAAAAGCTTGACTGTCCAATTGGCCAAAGTACCCCCAAGGCAGAAGTAATGGTCATGTCAAATAGGGGTTCATCCTTAAGAGCAATAATACTCAAATTTCCCCATGTCCTAGATTTGCCCCTCATTCATTGAATCTAGATCCACATGTGTGTAAGTCCACTTCAACATCATATTTTGGTGAGCTTATAAGAGTATGTTGAGGCCGCCTTCTAGATGGATGATGCATTGCTTCAAAGAGTGAGAAAACAGAGGGAGATTATTATGCCTGATTTTTTTTGTTTTTTTCTTTCTTCTTGAAGTAGTCTACCTACAAACAAAAAATAAAAGAAAAATAAACAAAGTTAGAATAATGTTAGAAGTCATCCCATAATTTTGCATGATCTAGTGTTTCAACGATTGCTATATGGATTCACACATTGTCGATTTCCAATCCTTAAGGAGCCTCGGATGAAGCAAAATATCTTTGAACCCCTTGAGATTTTCGTAGACTCCAAGGGTTGCATAGAAGACATTTACAAGTAGTTCAACATGCATTACAAAGATGGTCATTCATTACAAAGTAAAAGCCTAGTACATCACACTAAGTACATCAACATGGTAGCATTCAAGTTCCTAGCAAAATATGACTCCTAGATCTCTCAAAGTATGATTGTTCAATGAGTAGTTGCATTCCTTTTCTTGGAGAATCCCTTGATTGCTAGAGCCATATAAAGTGCAATGTGCTTGAGCTTTTGATCTTCGAGGTTGCTCTTGGTTCTTGTCCTTCTAAGTTTGCCCCCCGTATTTGGCAATTGTGAATGATGGGAAAGAAATGCTTGTAATTGGAGATCTCTTCAATCCTCTATTGGTCAAAACTTTCTCCATGGATGAATATTTCCAAAGTGTCTTGATTGACAAAGATTCGCACTTGACCATGTATGAATCCATATGTCAATTGTTGAAGGCAGAGAATCAAACAAGATTATGGGAATGCAAAACAAGAAATAAACATGGATGCTAAACAATAGATGAAGGATGAAGGAACATAAATATGCTCTAAAGTGATAATGTGTGTGTGGTTGTATCCTAAAGCATGAATTTTCCTTCATTAAGTATGCCAAGCAAATTTCAAAAGAGAAGCTGGCGATTCACTATTGCAACCCATTAAATTGGCATTCATAAGAAATATCATTTGAAAAGAAAGCAAATGCCATGAAGCTTGAAGAAAAAGTGAATGGTGTGATGCTTGGAGAAAATGATGATGTGATGCTCCAAAATCATGTGCTTAGATTATTTTGATGTCTAAAAGATGGACTTTTCATGAATTTATCTTGGAAGAACCTCTTTTTTTTTTCTTTTTCTTTTTTTTTTCAAAAATGTGAAATGCTTTGGATTTAGTTGAATAAGGCCCACAAGTTTGAAACATGCAACAAAATGCAAGATGGTGAGAACTTCTTCG